TCTCTATCAAAGTCTTAGAACAACAACAAATATTTCCTTTTGCCACAGCGGCTCTTAGATACGGATACCATTTTCTACAGCCTGATCACAGTGACATGCTAATGTCGTGGTATAGCTACAGCGGTGAGCTTTTGTCGAGCTTCTCTCTCGCGACGCAAAAAAGTAATAACCGTTCTAAGGAGCGGCGTGGTATACGCATGTCGCATGCTGCATATTGCGTTTGGTTCGTCAATTACACGGCAATAGAACATCAACATTTTAACGACGATCACATTCCCTGTACGAATTAACCTATATGTTTGGTAATAAGGCGAGCCCGAGCTGACAAGTAGCCTCATGCTTTTGTCAGTAGGTCAAGTTTTCCGCTCGGAACAGGCCTGGCCCCGGGAATCCGCCGCTGGGCGTCGTCGAGAATCTACAGGACTTGTTCGGGAACATTCGCCACTCTTCTCGCAACAACTACGAGTCCCCCTGTTTATTTATGCATCGCCATGTCATAAGCCATAATGTGGCTGAAGGTACTGCATCATCACATGACCCCGCTAGTCGGCTCAATTCCAACTTCATTCTTGGCTTTTGGCTTGTGGCTTTTCAACGTCGGCGTCCTCCATTTGCCACTTTGCAACGACAGCTTGCGAAACCACACGCGAACATACCAGATCTTGATGGAGACTCTTAGAAATATCATACAGCATTTGTCAAGAGGCAACACGGATACGAATTTTTTTTTCATGCTGTCAGCCACCTTCTGTGCGACGTACGTATGCGGCATCCTTCACGGTTATTCGGTCTTGATAGCTCGGCCACCGGAGTATCAATGATATGACCCGTCGGTCTCCATCCACTGCCGGATGGCCATCACGCTATTTGTTTCGCAATTACATGTTTCATCTGCTTACAATTGGGCCAGCCCTATTTTAACCTGACTTAGCTACCTAACGTTTTGACAGATGCCTAATGCTAGGGTGAAAACAAGGCATTCGGGATGAAACGTAATTATACTACACGTGTTATCTTCGCCTCTCTTTGCCTCGACCTTGAGACACACTTCATGTGGCGTAGCCGGCAGCTATCCCGTCTGGACTCCTGCACATAATATGGTCCTGTGGCAAAGTCATTGGCCAACGCCGCGACATGTCAAGTCTCGTTTCCAAACTACGCAACTAGGTCGTGCAGAAGTCTCCTACTAGAGACGAAACCAGACAAGTTGCGATGGTCTTTTGCTATTCTAGGCGACCGACCGAGACACCATTTAGAAGAGTTTCTTCATCTATGACGGCTTGACTTGTGATATCTCAATGGTATCTTTAATTGAAGCAACATAGCAGTTAATAGTATGGTAAGACCTGTAACTAAGTAGGTAATCCATCTGGGCGAAAACCCAGTTCTGATTTTTTTTCTCTTATTTTTTCTGGTCTATCTGAGCGATAGCTGGTTCTATAAAATAGTGCGAGTAAAAAGTACCTACTAACTCACACGAATATGTTGAAATGGCCTCATTTCAATAGCCAGCCTCTCTCCACTTGGATAATCCTGTCTTATCCCGTTTTGTCTTGAGGGTTTGACTCCTCTCTCGTTTAGCAGTGTATCTAGAAGCATGCAGTAGAGAAAACAGTTGCGCCCGGAGCAAATCCTCCACCCACCTTTTGCTCCCCTTTTTCAGTAATCTTGGGTATGGTAACAACAACAACAAAAACAACAACTAAATCAAGACTCATAAAAAGCCCCTGCGTAAAAATGACCTGAGACTCCACAACGCCTTACGAAAAAAACGCCTTAGTGGCCTGGTGATTTGCAGATGGATGCGAGAAGATGAATCATTTCATGAAAAGGAATTGTGTAGATGCATCGAGCCCGTTTGCATCGGGGGTAATTTCCAGAATCTAGGCTGGACGGTCAACTTTCGTACCCGATTTTGTCGATCTGGCCTTTTCTCCGTTTGTCGTGCGTCGGACAAAGAGAGGGGATACAGTCTAGGGGGAGGAGGATGACGACCTTGGCGAGGATTTGCTTCTCGAAGCGTTATTGAGCGCATCGCGATAGGACAGGGTTGATACGCGAAATTGGTGGTACACCGGCATTTCTTCCGGCTTCTGCACTGGTTTTGATACTGGGCTAGGTTCCGGCTTGGGCTCTTGCTTTGGCTTTGGGTCTGGCTTTGACGCTGGGATAGGTTCTGACTTCGAGTCTGGCTTAGGCTGTGACTCTGACTCTGGCTTTAGTCTCTCTTTTTCCTCTCGCTTTCGTCTTCGGGCTTCTTTACGCTTTTGGTTCTTAGTGAGCTTCGTTGCAGGCGGATTCTTTGTTTCCTCCGAGGTGGGATTCTTGTCATTCTGCTTTTTCTGACTCTTGGTACGATCAGCAGAAGGATGTTGTGGATCAGAAGTAGCGGTCCCAGATGAAGCGCCTCCAGCGGCAGACTGGCTGTGGAGAGGGGGGTTTTCCTGGGTCTCATGGCATGTACCATTTGCAGGGTCAGTGACTGGTTCCTTGGATTTCAGACGTTTTTCGATGGCACCAACGTCGGCTGTCAGCGAAAATTCCACGGAACCGAACACTATAGTAGGAGGATTCACAGCAACAGGTTCCACTTCGCTAATACAAGTCGAAGCAGGGGATGGAGTGTGTGCAATTTGCTCGCATTTGAGGTCCTTGCTGGGTTTTGCCTCGGGAATACTAGCCATGAAGGGATCGACTAGAGTGGGAGATGCCGAAAAGTGCCCTTCGTTACGCTCAGGGGTGTCTGATCTGGTACCACCCGAAGCATTTCCAGTGTTTTCCTCCCACGAAGCGTATATTGCATCTTCCGACGATGTATGAAAAGAACTTGACCAAAATGACGGCGATTCTTGCTGCTCTCCCTGTGCAAAATGCCGTTCCGTCCTATTTTTCCAGCGACGAGCTCCTTTGTCGGTTCTATTTCTGAATTGTTCGTCGGCAGGAGATGGACCCGGGAATTGTGTAGAAGCTTGGATATACGGCTGAGTTGCTGTGTCTACTAGGTTTGTATTCTGGTAGCTGGCTGTGCTAACTTCAAACCTCTCAGACGAAGTGATGTGGAACGAAGTTACCATCCGTGGCGGTGAAAGAGAGCGTGTAAAATGGTCCCTAGTCGATCCACTCGAAAGCGCTGGATGTTGCGAATCGAAAGGGTGAACGATTGTTGGACCTTTGAAGCCCATTAGCCAATTGCTGTATACCGAAAGAACGACATCGTCTCGGTCGGTCCTTGCAGCTATACGAAGCATGCCTTCCAGACTCGCGAGACTATCTAGAAATTCCGGAGTCCTTGATAACACAGGAGCACCACGACTGTCTACGTTAGAGCAGAAATAACAATACCGCGATGCGATATGTCGCTCGCAGCGTGTGGCAGATGGGCAGGCTGGTGCTCCAGGGAGCACATCTTGACAGAAGAAATTAACCGCGACATATGCGTCTTCGCATACACAACAAAGCCAGTGCTCTAGTTGACACATCTTCGTTGTCGATAAGAGGTAGATATGTAGTTAAAATATGTGTAGGTTCTGCTCAATATTTTTATTCTGGCGTATCGCTAAATGGACAGTTCAAAGGTTCTTTTTTTTTTTTTTTTTTTTTTTTTGTTCTTTCTTTCGCCGGACGGATTGGTTGGATATCGAATATCTAATATCTAATGCTGAATGAAGATATTGATGACGATAATACCAAGCTTAGAAGAAAAAGGGGGAGTCTCGGGAAGTGATAAAATTAAATAATGTTTCTTCCGTTGGAGATTTTAGAAAAACAAGTACATTGTTTTTGTGACCAATCTACATACAAGGAAGGCACTCTGATTCACGTTCTTGCACTTTGTTCTACCATAGTCGAGTTGTTTAGCAACTCATACGTTGTTTTTTTTTTTAGGGGGGCTTGTGATGGGTAACTCCAAAAGAGACAATTATTTAGTACCTATTACCTATTACCTATTAGCTCTGTAACACCATGTAGGTGAGACTAATTGGGCAAGTGACTAAAAAAAAAAACTGACTCAACATTTGATCAAGCTGGGCTTCGAAGGAAGTTACGAAGAAGGGGGATATGCAAGACAGAAAGTTCCTCTACGTAAGGTAGGTAGTTACTGGGCAGGTTCCATAGGTCCACGGATAGGTAGGTACCTACTTGCTTTTTCCTCGGATGCGGGATCACCGATGTAAGTAAGACCCGGAATCCGGGACTTGTGATCATAAATCCCGGATACTTTAGCTCCGATATAATTTATTCTAGTTATCATTTGTGTGGAATGAGAAACGAGTTTCTTCCTCTTTTTCCAGTATTGGGAGTTGAGATCTCAGCAATATTTTCTAACCCGTTTCAACATATAACTTGTCAATTTTGAGAGAATTACATTCGAGGAACGAGTTCCTTATCTCGTGACAACACGCTCTTTTTCTGACAAAATTTCCTCACAGAGATCTGTTTCTCCAGCATGATATATATATATGCCTTTTCCTGTGGAAAACATATAATTTATCATACGTACCTATATTTGGAAATCGGGTGTCATTTCTAGTATTATCGGAACTTGGTTGGAAACTCGCACGTTTTGCTATAAATACCCACATGAGGTCTCATACTCGCCCCGGGGTGAGCACCAACTAAACTCGGCATAAAGAACCTGGTTTACGGACAATTAAATCAAATATGCTTCGACATCCGGGCTTTGTCATGTTTATTGCACTTATCATTTTAATAAAAACAAAATTAAGGAAAATGAGAGGACGACCCTCAAATAAAGATTGTTAGAATCGGATACCGTCTTAGGCGGATACATACCTCAAGGACCGAATATCGCTATGGGTGATGTGTCTAAATTTCTCTCGTCCATCAGATATATGAAATGACAAGACACCTGCCCACACTTAGAGGTTATATGGGACCAACAGGCACATGACATCATATGTTAAACAGACTCATAGAATATTCTAGTTACTCGGAATGAAAATGAAATAATCCAAACCAGAATATTAAAAAAAAGAGAACTCCGAATCGGGGAATCGAACCCCGGGCTTGGCGGATCCGACAAGTTAATATTACCTTGTTAGATATTTAACCCATGAGAGCACCAAATGTTAGCCACTACACCAATTCGGATTTGTTTAAGACAAGTTGATGAAAATTTTAACATGCTAATGGAGGTTGTATAGTAAGTTTGAGCAGCGCGCCCTAATCTCTTTTTAGCGCCCACGATAAGCCGTCTTGTCCAACAATTCTACCTTAGGTACCTACTGAATGTGGGCGGTAAATGACAAAGGATACAGCTAAGAACGTATTCATTTTGAAGGCCGAAAAGATATGTTAGACCTCGTTGGTGTTTGATCCATGGGGTTTTGGTTCCTAGGGTTGTCTGGTATATAGGTAGGAGCGAGGAAGAATATGTTGTTAGCAATATGGTTGTCAGTATGTTTGCAACTTCAAAAATATTACCTAAAATTTCTTGTGACTAGAGGCCTTTATAGAACTATGCGGTTTGGCGGAAGTGTTGTTACGTGCCTTAATATCTTTAACAGTAGGGAGTAGTCAATTACACAGTTGGGTAAGGTATCTAAGGTATCGAGAGGTGGATAGAGGTTATTGAATAAATCCGAATCTCTTAAAGCTACGGAACTCCGTAGGCATGCGTATCAGATGTATCCGTTGTCACAGATAAAACATCTAAGACCTAGTCAATAGGACTTTCGTAATAGATAAGGGAGAACGGGGATAAATTGTGACGAGGAGGAGCGTTTCGAATAGGATGACTCTCTTGTGAGACTATTATATCAAAAACAAGCATCGAACACACCTATCCAGTCATGAACACCTGGGCACTTTGAGTCCGACAGATAGCTGGTTATACATTTAAGTTATCCACCAGTACTGGATAGAGTCATGATAGATCTTCACGGTTCATAGTACTTTCTCAATTTCGGATTAAATAGTACGAATCCGTGCGTTGAAAGTTTCCTCTAGGTACGCCAGCATATAATGATTCTCAAAAAGGGGGTCTATTGAATACCTAACCGTTAATGATTACTTGCAGGCAGAGGAACGCAAGTTAAAATAAGAGTAAAACGACGATAGACGGAAATATACAGGCAATAGCTTCGTTTGATGTATGCTTTATTCCAGTAATATCATAGCAGGGAGGCCATAATATATTACACCGACTTTCTCACTGCATTCTGGAAACTTATACGGTGGTCTTCAGCCCGTGTTAAAGTAAAGACATAAACTCGAGAGTAAAACATTTGCATGATATTTAGTTACATGCAGGTCTTTCTTTCTCCGTCTGGTACAATACTATTGGATTATATACGCGCTGCACTTTCAACAGTTTCACTCTAAGTCGTCGGCGTTGTAAGCTATACAGGCATGTCAAATTTATAGTAGGACTTTCTTGCTTATGAATAAACCACTTCAATGAGCGCGCATGATATTTAGCAAAACATTACCCACGCTAATAATAGAACTGTCTTTTCCCAATACATAGGTAGGTAGGCAGATAAGAGAAAAAGAACGCCCTTTGCAGCCGAGACTGATGAACTTAATTTGAACAAGATATCTCAATCCTAAGTTATACCTATAGACATAACATCGAGCCAAGTGGAACACAACTCTTAACTTTTTCTAACTTAAGACAATGACACGGCTCAGAATAAGTAGAAGAGCTTAGAGTAAATCGATTTGTGTTTCTCTAATATAAGACTTTCATAGGCTATTGCGGATAGCCGAAATAGGGAGTATTAGTAGAGATTGATAAGAGTCTCTTCTTTCGTTAACGGTGTGGTGGCACGAAGTCCTATAGCCGAATGTGGAACAATCCTACCTAAATCTATTGGATAATAGGACTAGTTAGTAATTTTAACAAGATGCCATGGATGCTGATCTCCGCAACCCGCACAGTATTAGAAATCAAAAACGTCACCGGCACACCGCAGCGAAGCTTAATTTCATGCAGTTCACGGTTATACCATGAGGGGAACTTTCAATGGTCGAGAGGGGAAACCTTCCGATGGACAGGAATGATAGGCGGGTGCGCCAGTGTAGCGCGATGGAGATTTGGCGTTACCCCAGGCGGACGCGGTAGGTTATATTTCCCCGCCATCTAATAAGATATGCCTCGGATGAATCTTATATCTCATTGTTGACCACTTATCTCCTCCCCTATTTTGTAGTTTCAGTACTGTTACTGCTGTCGAACGACGCTTCACTAGGTAATAGATAGTCAATATGGAGCTCCCGTTGAGAAAAGACTTGCGGCCAAAATCTGGCGAGCCTGAGGGTTCGGCATGGATATGGGGAAAAGATGACGAAGTTCGTATATTCCTGCTTTAAACCAACTAGTTTTTAGAGAATACTTGCTAACACCATCTTAAGCTGGGTAGACTAAACCTGCAAACACCAGAAAGGGTGAAGAAAGCGCTGGAAACTGTCTCGACAGGAGAAGTTATCCCTCTTAAGTTAGTACGGCATCTTGCCTATATCCGATACGATCAGTCCAAAGTACGCCTACCTAGATATCTGTTTACTAATTCATATACAGCCTCCCATTCGACCAAGTAGCACCGCCCTGCTATGAGCGACAGCCTTTTAAACATTCTATCCACTCCCTAGGAGGACTCGGATTTGACGACCTTTATGACATGAATCCCCAAAGTACTTCTCAATGGGACGGGTTTCGTCATGTGAGTTTAGACCAGACATTCGGAGGGTTTCGTTAGAAGCATGGTTAACCCAGCGTAGTTCTGCCATGTACCCACGGGATATTTTTATAATGGGGTGAGCAATCTATCGCAATCTTTCCACGAGTCACTTTCATCTAAATTTTGCCATCCAGACTACCGCCAAGGACATCCAAGGCGAAAACGCGTCAACCAAGTGCGGAATGCAAGCGTGGGCGAAGCATGGTATCGCAGGTAGAGGCGTACTTTTGGACTACGGTCGCTACGCTGAGGCCAACGGTATAAAGCCGGTGTACTATGACAACTTCAAGATCACCCATAGCGATCTGGTCAACGTGGCGCAGTCTCAGGGGATCAATCTGAGACCGGCCGCGCAAGGGGGTGATATCCAGATTGGCGATATCCTGGTGGTTAGATCCGGGTTTCTGAAGAATGCAAACTCGCTTTCGTACGAGGAGAGGGCTCCCAAGCACCTTGGGAAGAACAACTTTGGACCTAATGACGGCCAACGTTATATAGGTGTAGAGCAGAGCGAGGAGATCCTCGACTTGTTACATGATTCCTACATTTCGGCTGTAGCTAGTGACCATCCCGCCTTCGAAGCATGGCCATCTGAGAAAGGTATCTGATGTTAACCGTGCCACCCCATGAAGAAGAGGTTACTAATGCACCTTGGGGTATGTTTAGATTATTATCTTCACGAGAAGCTGTTGGCGCTTTGGGGAGTTCCTATCGGCGAGCTCTGGGACCTTGAGAAACTCGCAGAGAAGTTGGCCGAGAGGAAGCAGTGGACATTCTTCCTTTCAAGTGCGCCTAACCACGTAAATGGTCTGTACTTCTTATCCTGAAGGCTTGGTCAAAACTGAAAGTTGATAATATACTAACACGGACTTATAGGAGGTATCTCGAGTACTGCAAATGCTGTGGCTATCGTATGAGGTGCGCGTATTTCTTTTGGACACTTCTCATTTATATTGGGTGGAGTGATATTATCGAGGAGAAGTCTGAATATAGGAGATACTGTGAACAATTTAAATGATTTATAGCAATGAAATATTATATCACCATTGGATGTCGTGTATTGGTGAGAATGGTGCTCTCTACTAATATCCCTAATATCCAATGGTGAAATATAAAAATACAAGCGTGATGGATAAATAAATATAATAATATCGCGGCGGGATCTGTAATTGATAGAGTTTAAATGGTGGGTCCCCGTATAGCCGTGTTTATCTAGTATGTATCTAGTTACATTTTATCTACATGTGACTTTCCTCTTATCAGGCTGACCAAGCTCGACGCTTGGACCAATTGAATTCAAGGTGCAAGGCAGCGCGAGCTTTCGTCGCCTCGCAGCCGCCTTAAGCTTCCCTCCATCATCATCGCTTTAATATTCCCACCACGAAATACTCACTACGCATAACCCGCCAAAAAGTCCACATTCACACATTACCTCGGACTAGCAACTGACTACACTTCCCCTCCGATTAGATCATAAGCTAGCAAGAAAGTCTAGGAATTATGGCGGACGCAGCTCTGAAGCCCGAGAAGGACTTCAGCAAGGAAGCTGACGTACAAATCAGCGAAGCAGAGAAGCTTGCTAAGGTGCAACATGTCTCGACTATAAACCCTGGGTTATCTATTACTAACATCTTATTATAGAATGATGTTCAAGCAGCTATCGAGAAACTTACCGTCTTCGAGAAGCAAACCCGACAGGTGAGTTGGAGTTGTTCACTTAAATCCCCTCTCATCGTCCAATATCACTAAACGATCATTATTTCATAGGCTTCCGATCTCGCCTCCACATCCCGGACTTTAATTGCGATATGTACGATCTGCAAAAATGCTGGAAACTGGAGTTTACTTAACGACCAGGTCTTGGTCCTCTCCAAGAAACATGGCCAGCTCAAACAAGCTATCACCAAGATGGTTCAGACCGTTATGGGCTTTCTCGACGACACCCCGAATCTGGAGACTAAGCTATCAGTAATTGAAACCCTACGCACCGTAACCGAGGGTAAGATATTCGTCGAAGTTGAGCGGGCCCGCGTGACCAAGATTCTGTCGGACATCAAGAAGCAGCAGGGAGATCTCAAGTCTGCTATGGACATCCTCTGCGAATTGCAGGTCGAAACTTTTGGTTCTATGGAGAGGCGAGAGAAGACGGAATTTATACTTGCCCAAGTCGCATTATGTATTGAGAATGGCGACTGGACACAAGCTGGTATTCTCAGCCGCAAGATTAGCACCCGATATCTGTCCCGGAAGCCAAAGAAGACGGCGGAGCAGTTAGAGAAGGAAAAGAAAGCTCGTGAAGAAAAGTTGAAGCGCGGAGAGGAGGTTCCCCCCGAGGTAGAGGACGACACCACCGACTTGAAGCTGGCCTACTACGGACAGCAGATCACCCTAGCAAAGCACGATGACAAG